ATATATATATATATATATATATATATATATAAGAGTACAGGTTTTATATCATCCCATAACCGATTCCCATTCGAATCGACCATCATGATCTAAAATGGCCAAGTTTTTAAAACAATACTTCCAAACATTGGCATGGTAATAATATAAGTGCTAGCTATTGGGTGGTGGCACCTCGTGTGTGACGTCACGAGGGTTGAGTTACTCCATAAAAATAGTCGATATTCGTAAGGTGCCCTCAACAGCAATTAGCACTGCCCCGCCCGGTTGGCCTGCCAATAGAAATGTAGGGCATGGGCCACAAATTGTGGCCTGAGTGCGAGGTTAGGGGTGTTGCCGGATCGGTTTGGCTCAACCCAACCCTCTTTTTTTCTTATTTTTTCTTCATTTGTTCTTGGCCCCACCCGGCCTGGCCCTACAGGAACTAAGGCCAAGCCAAGGCCAGGATTGGCTGGCTTGGCCGAGGCCCAGTTCATTGCCACTCTTATAATTAGGGGTGCTTTTAGCAATCTCAAGGAATAAATAATTTTAGTGACTGTAAAGTATTGCAGATGTATATGCTATGTGCATTTCAACCATCAACCTACTTCACCAAAAAAATAATAATAAAAATCAACGTGGACCTGATCAAAGGGTCTTAGTGTGGTTTGGACCTGGGTTGGTCCAAGTCAATTGGACTCAGACCCGACTTGCCAGATTTGGTTAATCTGGGTCCAGATATGAGCAATATAATTTTATAAAAATAGAAATTTAATACATATTGCAAAATTTATCAAATTCGCCATAAGAGAAACACTTTGACCTTATCTACGTCTTTCTATTTAATTTCGAGATACCGATAAAAAACATAAGGTCTTGAGTTATGATGGCTGCAAATAGAGAAGGTAATAAACAGTTCATCTCTTATAAGTATTTTGATAAATTTCTCATTCTTATATATAAGACAGTGAAATATACCTGGACGTTAACGCCAACCCCATATTGGACGCAACGTTGGTTCTAGGACAAATGGACTCCGACCTGACCCACTATGTCCATTTTACAGGTTTGGACAAAGACCGTAATCGAATTGACCTTTGGGCCCGGTTCGATCCAACCCGTCTGACAGCCTAATTGAGATGAACAATTCCTTGCTTTGAGAAAGGATGAGGTAATCTCAACTGCCCCATGTTGACAATGGGTGCTGAGGATCACAAGTAATGATCAACCTTAGAAACATTATTTTGATTTAGTTAGGTAAACTTGCAATTACGTTGGTCAGTTTTTTTATTGATTTAATTTGTATTTTTTATTTTATTTTAGGCCAATCCAATTTTGTGGGGATTTAGCTTGTTGGGTTAGTGGTGGGGGCACAGGCGCACCACCATGATCAAAGGTTGGAAATTAAAACAGAAGAGTCCAAAGGAAAAGATTTTTTCTTTTTAAAGGAAAAATATTATTTATTACATTCATCTAAAATATATATATCTTCATTGTGGCCGTTGCATCAGTATGTTTTTGCTTCTTTTTTTGTTTTTGTTTTTAACGTTAGCTCTTATTATTTAGCGTGCATGTATATGGCGAATATTGTATTATACATAAAAAAGGTAAGGGGAAAGTTTTAAAAAGATATGGATGGAAGTAATGTGAAAAGATATAGTGACTTATTATTTGATTGGGAGTATGATCTTTAATAAAAAAAAATGACGAAACTTTATTCATGTAACCGATCCAAATAGCTGGATAAGATACAATGATACTGATGATGACGTAAGTCAGCTGTTTTTTAGTGAAAATTATTGTTATGAGGGTATATTTTGTGGAGAGGTTTACAAGGGATACCACCTATTTGTCCCTTTGTATTTGGAATTTATATGGGGACTTTGCAGTAGATTGATACATATTGTGAAATATAATTCTCTTAAGAGTAGCACATATGGCTTCAAATTATGCACAATAAAAAATATAAATTTAATGATGATAGAGTTGATAATAATTTATAATGCATATAAAAAATAAAATATCAAAAGTCACAATCCATCTTAATGGCTTTTAATCGACGTACTCATTATTTAATTGCTACCCATTTGTCTTATTAAGATTTCAGCACTAGTTTTAGGTGTTGCCATACGTTTCTTTTCCCAAATTCAAATGCTAATTTTGCTTTCAAATTGCAAAAATGTCATTATCAGAAAATTGTTTATCTTGATTAAAACAAGAAGCCTTAAATCATTAAAAATAACTTTTGAAGTGTGCTTTATTTGCTTCATATTGGCGTCATGCTTAAACACATATGCACTTTGCTTCCATAATGCAAGGTTGATGCTTTATATAAACTTTTTCAAAGTATTTTTTTACAAAAAAAGTTATATCATTAACGCAACGATTTTGCAAAAAAAAAAAAAAAAAAAAACTAACTATAATTATTGCAACATTGGAGTTCCCGGTGCAAGGTATAAAAAAACATTGCGATTGATCAGACACCCAAATTTTAGTGAGACAATTTGCCGGTCCATGTTCAAATCCTATGCTGAATTCCTTTACCAAAAAATATAGAAAAAAGAAGAAGAAAAAGATGAAATAGCCCGAAGAATTGTTCTAAAAATTGTAAGTATGAAAAGCTCGTAGTACGAGCCAAACAGTATGTATAGCATAAAAAGTTTTTCTATGAAATGGGAAATGAGAACGTAGTCATTTGATAACCAATCCGATCCAATCTTGATAACATTGGGCTCGAAACTAACCTGTATATGGGTCCGTACTCTTTCGCCAAAACACTGAACACCCCCGGCCCATGCTTTGCCAATAAGTGTAGGTGGCCCAAGAACCACCTAGTTGGATGACCCGGAACAGCTCTTACTCTCCAAGAGGGCGCTGAGAAGTACACATAAATAATACCTACTACAATGGCTATCACTGTACAAATCAAGGGAACCCACCTCTCAAACAAGTTTCTTATGGAAAAGTATGGGCTTGTTACCCTAAACAAGGGCAACAAAAAGCCCTCCATAAAGGCCATGCCGAGAATTAGGGTATGGAAGGGAGGGGAGCCAAAATTTAAATTAGGGGAGTTGGGGGGGGGGGGGGGGGGGGGAAGGGGTGGGGGGATGTGAGCCCTTCTTTATTTCCCACCTTTTGCTACTTCAATTCGTCCATTAGTGGAGGAATCTAATGCTGGCTGTCTCCCCTAGTCTAAGACACCCATGATTTAATAATCTCTTATGATTGATGGGTGAGGTTTGTTTCTTGGACTAAAGTTAAATTTATGGGTGCGGTTTGTATAGAGCCGAGGCTCTAAACAATCAAATTAGAGCCCACCTTCAAATAGTGTCAAGAAATATGATTTCAATACCGAAAAGTTATGTGATAGTCATAAATTATATTATCTTTATTTATAAAATTTAAAGCTTAAAAAATAGTGTAGATAGCACAGATGTATGAAAACTTAAAAATCTTGAAAATTGATGGTCCAAAAGTGTGTTACAAGATGCATTATTTCCAAAACTTGAAATCCTCTTTTTTTTTTTCTCATGTCCATGGATCTTGATGTTGAGACGATCAATTTGATGATATTTGGTCATCAAAACGACCTTTTCTGGTGAAAGTTTTGAGGTAAGCTCTAATTTGATTGTTGATCGCATAGGCTCTATATAAAATTTTCCCTAAATTTATTCTATTATTCTTTGTGCCAATTGCCTTTGATGTTTTGTCTTTTTATAGATCAATATGGACTTTCCTTAGTGGTTAAATTAATGCTATCAGATTCGCTTCGGATGCTTCTTTGATTTGGTTTGGCATTTTTTGCTGATATAAGTTAAGATTTTTTTATTTTTAAAATTTTGATTGTAAAGTAATAGAAATATTATAAATAAGAAAGTATGAAAATTTTCATCATAATAAAAATGGATTTTTTCCCATTTAAGAAACATGGCCCTTTTTATATGTTTAATATTCTTTTGGGCAATATATTCACCTTTTATTTTGGCTTCAAATTGGCCTCGGATACGTAAAACTTTCAATGCCCTGCTAGGATTCGACTTAGAACCCAAAGAGAACCCAAAGAGGCTGGAAAAGGCTAAAAAATGTTAAATTATAATTATTGTGAAGAAATGTGTTTTTATATTCGTTTCACTTCGGTTTTAATGAGGGAAAAGTATACAAAGTAGTTATTTATTTTTGATATATGGAGGTCACAATCATTTATATCCGTTAGATTTTAAATTGGGTGGTTTTAATAGTGCCATTGACTAGACTCAAGTTCCAAAAAAAATTTCTCAAATTCCAAGCCATCTAATTTGATAATTCCAAGCCATCTAATTTGATATTTAATGACTAATAATAATTGTGGTATCCTTATAATAAAGATAAATAGTCTCATAATATATAATCCCTTTAGTGAACTTACAAAATTCAACTTATTTTGATATCCTTTTCAATATTTTAGGGAAATGCATCACACTACAAAAATCTAGCTTATACACTTTAGTTTCCATCAATGGTTTAAAAAACGGGCCGGTGACCCGGATCGGGCACCCAAAAAACCGATCCGGATCGGTAAATCGGCGATTCGGATCGGGAATCGGGTGAATCGGTCAGAATAAAGTTTCAAACAAATCCGAAAAAATTATTAAAATTCATTATAAATATTGTTTTTTAGGAATTCAATAAGAAATGAGGGTACTCCATTAAGAATTTTCATGTTTTTGAATGAATATGCGAATATTGATATGTTCTTTCCCTGCATGAACCGCCATTCAGCATTTAATTTACATCATATAAAAGGATAAACATAGAATTATCATGGAATAAGTATATCAACATACATGGACTACAATAAATCATAAAATTAGTAACATACGATCTAAAAATAAAATGATAGACGACGTTGTTGTTCTTCTTGGTCACGCTGGTGCCATTGATTGAATTCGTTTGACAATTCATTGATTCGATCTAAAAACGAATCATCGATATTAGCAGGCGTCTGATTATTCTCAAATCCCTGAGTGCTAGTGTTTTGTTATGTTCCCAATCCGAAATCCCCGAAGCTTGTCCATCCTTCATGCTCACCTGCAATACTGGCACTCCTAGGTAACCTAGAAACAATTTCTTGAACAACTGTTTCTCCTTGATACATATTGCATATCTGAGCTAGGCCCACCATGGATTACAAAAAAAGAAAAAACAATTCGATCATGGATTACAAAAAATTCAATCATGGGTTACAAAAAAAAAA